AGCAGCGGCCGCGGCCGCGGCCGCCCCGACCCCGCGGAAGGGCCAGAAGACCCGATGAAGGCGAATAAGACCCCGACGAAGGCCACGAAGACCCCGATGAAAGCCACGAAGACCCCGACGTCGGCCGCGAAGACCCGGATGAAGACCGCGAAGACCGCGAAGGGCTCGGGCAAGCAGGTCGCCGTCGCGCTGAAGCACTTGAAGTACCCGGGCATCCCCACGGGGCCCGAGCCGCCCAAGATATGCAGTGCACTTCGTGCGTTTCCGCGCCCCCCCGACCTAAATGAATAGTTCGTTATTGTGTTTTATGGTTTATCAAGGTATGTATCCATTGGCGGATCGAGTCGCAATCGCATCCCGTATCTGGTTATTTTTGATTTTCCCATTCGTTGACTGTCTTCCAGAAAAAACTCGGCACGGTTTCGAGATGCCCTGGGCGGCGCTGGCGGTTTCGGGGGCTGCAAGATCTACGTGTCCGTCGGCGCGAAGAGGTGGCGGGTGCTCAAGAACGGGAACCGCGTCGACCAGGCGCACCCGCGGGCCGTGGACGGCCCTGGCGCGTGGGCCGCGCTCGCGCGCCAAGCGAGGTCGGGCCAGTAGGTCCGCGCAACGAGGAGGCGCGCCCTCCAGCTCGAAGGAGGAAGAGGAGGGGGGGCGGAGGAGGAGGAGGAGAGGGGGGGGAGGGCGGGGGGGGAGGATGAGGAGGGGGCGGGGGAGGAGGTCGCTATAGTTTGCAGGACCCGCGGGGGCGCAGGTGGACGCCATCTGGGCGATGGATGGCAAGGAGAGGCTCGGCCCGCACATGCGTTCTTGGGAAACGATCGCTCGCTCCTTCTCTCCTCCTCCTCCTCCTCCTCCTCCTCCTCCTCCTCCTCCTCCTCCTCATCCTCATCCTCATCCTCATCTCATCCTCATCCTCATCCTCGTCCTCATCCTCATCCTCCTCCTCATCATCATCATCATCATAATCCTACTCCTTATTCCTCTTCGCCTTCCTCCCCCTCCTCCTCCTCGCCCCCCTCCTCCTCCTCCTCGCCCCCCTTATCCTCCCCGCGCTCCTCCTCGTCCACCTTTTGCCTTTCGTTCTTCGCTCCTCCCCCGTCGCTTTTCGCTCCTCGTTCCTCGTTCCCCGTCGTCGTCGTCGTCGTCGTCGACCTCCTCCTCTGACCCGCGCCAACTCGGTTCCTGAACCCATCCGAGGGTCCAAGCGCGCATGTTTTCCGAGCTGCATCCAGCCGCGGCGACGAGGGGGTCTTCGCTTGTTTCGGCCCCCCCCGCATTTGCCCCTGCACTTCCCCGGTCGTCCTGAGTAGTATCAAGAATTCGCGGAGGCTCGGCCGCGCACGCAGAGGCTCGGCCCTGCGCGAATTCGCAGAGGCTCGGCCCTGCACGAAAGACAACCCGATAAAAAGTTATGAAAGTGTTAGGACAACAAGTTATAGGAAGTTAGGAAAGCTATGAAAGGCATGGGGCATGTTATGAAATCGCTACGAAAACATGTAGAACATTGGCCGTTACAACCAGACCTATAACCATAGTTATACTCGCGAAGCCAAGCAGCGATATAAGTTGCCAGTAAGATATTCTATAAGCATCACAGCCTTCATCTCCATGAAGTAGGGGTCGAAGGGGCCCTGGGGGCCCACAAGTCATGTTCCCGGAGAGGCTTCCAGGAACATGATTTCGAACGGGGCCCTCTTGGGCCTCCCTGGGGCCGTCTTGGGGGCCTCCTGGGCCGGTTTCGGGGCCTCTTGGCCCGTCTTGGGGGGTTCCGTGATCCCCGCGGGCCGACACTTCTGGGCCGTCGTGGGCCCTCTTGGATTTTTCTTGGGCTGTTTTGGGGTTCTGCGGGAGCGTCTGGGGCACAGTGAAGACGAAGCCAGCGAGTGTGCTGAACATATAAGTTTTCCTTGGGAAATGGGATGGGCCGGTTTGTGCCTCTTGAAGGCCCTTTTGGGGCACTCTTCGGTTATCTTCAAGCCATCTCGGGCCCTCCTGGGCCTCGCCGAGGCTGTCCTGGGGTTCAGTGGGGGGCCCTGGGGGCCCGGAACTCACGTTCCCGGAGATGTTTCCAGGAACGCGATTTCGAGCGCGGCCCTCTTGGGCCTCCCTGAGGCCGTCCTGGGGGCCTCCTGGGCCGGCTTCGGGGCCTCTTGGCTCGTCTTGGGGGGTTCCGTGAGCCCCACAGGCCGACCCTTTGAGGCCGTCTGGGCCCCTCTTGGGTCTCTCTTGGGCTGCGTTGGGGCCTCGCGGGGGCGTCTCGGGCACTGCGAAGACGAAGCCAGCGAATGTGCCGATAATGCACGTTTTACCCGGGAAATGGGCCGATGCTTGCTTCTTGAAGGCCCTCTTTGGGCCCTCGCGGGCCCTCTTGGGGCGCTCTTCGGCGTCTTCGGGGCCTCTTCTGACTTTCGTGGCCATCTGCGCGGCCCGCGTGGCCTGTCGCGGGCAATTTGGAAGCGGCCGGGGGCAGCCCCAGGGGGTCTGTGACCCCCCAAAGGTTCGGGCGGGCCCCCATGGGGGACGACGGCATCGATTTTGGCCCCCTCCCCGCCTACTCAGAGTGTGAGAGAGAGAGAGAGAATTGAATATATATATATATATATATATATATACACATACATGCATATATAAACACATATCTACGCGACCACCACTCGGGTGATAAGGAGGTTCGTGGGGGAGGAACCAACGTCTCACTCGATCGGTCTCACGATCGATATCACTATCGGTTTCGCTCGATCGATCTCACTCGATCGATCTCGCAATCGGTTTCACTCGATCTATTGCACTCGATCGATCCCATCATCGATCTCACGATTGATCCCACTATCGATCTCACATTTGGTCCCACTATCGATATCACTATCGATATCACAATCGAAGTCACAATCAACGTCATCAGCATCAACAGCATCGCCATCAACGTCGTCAACATAATCGTCGTCATCATCACCATCATCGGGGCGCTGTCGTCATCACCGTCATCATCACCGCATCACCATCAACATCACAATCACCGTCACCATCATCATCATCGGGACACCATGGTCGTCACCATCATCATGATCAACCGCATCACCATCGGGACACCATCATCATCATCGGAACATGACCACCATCATCAGGACACCATGAAGAACAACATCATCACTATCATCATCATCATCATCATCGGGGCACCACCCTCATCAGCAGCATCACCATTATCAACAGCATCAACATCATCGGGACACCATCATCATGGTCACCATTACCATCATTACCATCATCATCATCATCGGGACACCATCACCATCAACATTCGCATCATCATCATCGGGCCAACATCATCAAAATCACCATCACCACCCAATCATCACCCTCATCATCAGCATCATCATCATCATCGGGACACCATCATCATCACCATCAATATCATCATCATCATCATCATCATCATCATCGGGACCCCATCATCATCACCATCCTCATCATTAACAGCATCATTCGCCTCATCCTCAATACCATGACACCATCATCATCTGCATCACTCCATCATCGACATCATCAACATCATCATGATCATCATCAGCATCATCATCATCGGGACACCATCATCATCATCAGTATCGGCATCAACACCATCATCGTCATCATCGGGACACCATCATCATCACCACCATCACCAGCATCATCAGCAACATCGTCAATATCATCATCATTGGGACACCATCATCACCACCATCGTCATCATCACCATCGTCATTATCATCATCTCCGTCGACATCATCGACATCATCATCATCATCACCATTATCATCATCATCATCATCATCATCATCATCATCATCATCATCATCATCGGCACCGACGGGACACTGGCGGGACACCGCGGGCCACCGGACGCCGGTCCGGAATCATTTGGTCCGGCCGCGCCTCAGCCAGAGGTGGGACACCGGCGGGACACCGCGGGCCACCGGACGCTGGTCCGGAATCATTTGGTCCGGCCGCGCCTCAGCCGGAGGCTTCAGCCAGAGGAGTTTTTCTTCTCGCCCGCCCACGCAGCTTCGCCTAGCCCGCACGCACGGCACGCACGAACACGAAACCGAAACCGATCTCCCGGAAGGGGGGATCTCCGTTCCACTTCGATTTCACCCCTCTCACCTCCGATATCTGTTGAGAGAGAGAGAAAGAGAAAGAGAGAAAGAGAGAGAGAGAGAGAGAGAGAAAAAAAAAAAAGAAAGAAAGAAAGAAAGAACTATAAACAGAAAGAGAGACAGGCAAACGAATGGGACGGATATGTGCGAGGACGGAAACAAGGACGGGGAGGCGCGGGAATGACCCAGGCATGACCGCGTCGTAAACAATAGAAAACTTTGCGGTTCCCAATGTTCGGCTCCGGGGGCCCTCGCCGGGCCCCGGGCCCGTCAAAACAATTCAGGATGAAAAAACGGTACCGGGGAATGGGTCGAGACTTCCCAGGATTCCGTATTGAACAAATCCAGACAACGCATGTCTGGAGGAGGAGGAGGAGGAGGAGAGGGAGGAGTTCGCGCCGTCTGCCTCTTTCGCTACTTGCCCTTCTTTTCTGTACGGTTGCTGCTGCTGCATGCTGCGCATGGAAGCTACTGAGACGCTACGGCGAGGAACTAAAAGGTGGAGGAGGAGGAGGAGGAACGAGGAAGTGGAGTGGAGGGGGGAGGGCGAGGTAGGCAGAGGAACAGAGGAGACGGGAGGACCAGGTACCGAGAACTTCGCAACGTCGACCGCCAGAGATCTGCACCCCCTCCCCTGCGACCGTTCTTGCATGCCGAGCAGTGTTTGACGGTCCCGGGCCACGGCGAGGGCTTCTGGGAGCCAGAAATTGGAAAAGCCTTCCGCCGCAATGTTGTTCACGACGGGGAAGGAGGAAAAGGAGGAGCAGCAAGAGAAGCAGGAAGAGGAGGAGGAGGAGAAGAAACACCCAGGGGAAGCATCCACGCCGGCCTCGCTCGATGTGGCGGCCGGCGCGGGCCGAGGCCTTCACGCTTGACACCTCCTCCAACATCTTCCGCTTCATCCGCACCGTCGCGCACGTGGTCCGCGAAGGCGGTGCGCCCTTGTCGGGGTCCGTGGAGCCGGAGGGTATCAAGGGAGGAAGGAGGGAGGGAGGCTTCAGAGGGCATACGCCCACCGATTGCTCGGACATGTTCCTCTTTGGCCCAGCTCCACGCTCCCACGTCAGAGCTGAAGCATTCGCGTTATGTTGAGGCTTGAAAGCCGTAAGGAAGAAGACCCGCACATGAAAAACATATGTTTGTTTTGGCTTGTCTGAAGATGTGTCGAGATGTTGCCGTTACCAGAGTGGGGAAACGAGCGGTCTTATACCGTTCTTGGCCGCCTGGCTACAGGCTGCAGTGGGGTTCACCAGTAACGATTAGCATTGCGTCTTCAGTCTTGAAGAGTCCATATTGTTGATATATCCCGCCTGGTTGCTATTTTTTTGTTGTCCATGGAGGTCTCGCTTCGGCGTTCGCACCTGTCCTGTCGTCGACGACGCTCCGAAAGCGGCACTCGCCCGCGAACTACAACATCGCTCCCGCCTGAGACCTCCAAATCCAGAACTGCGCTCTCGCCCGAGACATCCCAGCAACCCAGTCTGGATCGCGCACTCGCGCTCTCGCCCCTCAAGGATCTTGATGTCATTCGATAGCTCCTGAACGTTAATGTGTAGCCACGCTCTCGCCTGATATGTGCGACTTCCATCAAGTCGCGCAGGAATTGTAGTCTCCTTTAACAGAAATCTCGCTATCGCCTGCAACTGCTTCGTCGTCTACTCAGGAATCACGCTCACGCCTACGTGCAGGTTGCCTTGCGGCTTGCATTCGTGAAGCAATCGATCTGCTCGAGCCCCTGAACCCTGACGTTCTATCGCGGACCCCCTCCATCCTCTCTCTTCTCGCATCCGTCCTGCATCCTCCCCCCTTGCTTCCGTTCTCTCCTCGTTCCTTCCTCCTCTGCCCGAGAAAGGTTTCGCCCGTCCTCCTCCTTCCCCTCCCCCTTCTCCTCCTCTTCCTCCTCCTCCTCCTCCTCGATCGCCCCAGTTACGAGCCGCCCGACCCGATCCGGCCACCCGAGTTCGGGCAGGCCCCAGCTCGACCTGCCGACTTGCCGTCTGACACGGCCCGATCGGCCGTTCGCCGGCCTAACCTCAAGGCGTTGGGGGGTTTCCCCGAAGGGCTTAGGCGACCCGTCCTCGTCCTCCTCCTCCTCCTCCTCCTCCTCCTCCTCCTCCCTCTCCTTCTCCTTCTCCTCCTCCTCCTCCTCCATATCCTCTTCCCCCTCCCCCTCCTCCTTCTCCTCCTCCTCCTCGGGTCGCCTGCGGCCTCGGGGGAAACCGTGCACAAGGCGTGTGCGAGCGAAGGCGAAGAGGGTAGGCATCGAGGGCTCCAGGTATACGTGCTGAGCGACACGCGAGCAAGCAAACGCGGGGCGGTCTTACGATAACTGTCGTCGTCGGCGTCGTCGTCGGCCCCGCGACCCGCCCGCGATCCGCAAGCGACCCGCCCGCGACCGCCCCGCGACCCACCCCACGACCCCACCCGCGACCAGCAAGAGTGCCGCCCGCGGCGGGCTCCACACCGGCGCCCGAGCCCCGCAGCCCCGGCAGGGGGAGGACCCAGGAGCGCCCGCTCTCATGATCTGCTTGCGGTCGCCAGGGCGGAGGGACCCCGGGGCTTCCCCGGAGCGATTGCAGTGGATCCAGGAGGGAGGGCGGGAGGAGGAGAACGGCGGCCTTGGATCCTGGAGGCCATGATGTGTTGTTCATGTGCATAAGATACGTGCACAGAGGAATAGTTAATTTATACGCGAAGCGATATGTCAATGGATCCATATTCCCACAACAGTGGAGCGTGCTTCGTTTTTGCTTGGGGCATTATGGGCATTATCGCCCTCGGCCCCCACTTCCCCACCCTATAACGCAACGCTCCTCTCCCCCCAGTGCGCTCCGGGCACTGCCGCCGTGCGCACGGCGGGGGGGAGGCGTTACATTATGCCCCCCCCCCTGGCCCCTCCCCCCTCTCCCCCCCTTATCATGCCCATTATTGCCGAATATAAAGAAACTCGCTACTGGATCCTGGAGGCCATGCTGTATTGTTGATGTGCGTAAGACACGTGCACAGAGGAATACGGTAGATTCGCGCGGCGTTGGCTCGCCGGCGAAGACGTTCAAGGTTAGTTTTGCGACGTGGAAGCACCGAGGGACACGATAACGCCAGTGGGCCCGACGGAATTCGACCTTGAACGATCGGGGCCGCGATCGATTCAAGGTTAAACGATCGACGCGGTGTCAAAAACCTCTGTGCGCGCCGACGCCGCACAGAAGAGATCTATCATTGGATCTGTTTGCCCAAAACAGTGCCTGCTGCCGGTGCTTTTTTCATGTCTTTACCAAGGCATCGGGCATGCGGGCCGCTCTGGCCGCCACGTGGCCGCTTCGTCGCAGCCCACCGCCTTGGCCTGCGGGCCGTTCTAGCCGCAATGTGGCAAACGAAATTTCTCCTATGGGGGGTGGGTCTGCAGACCCCCCCCATAAGGGGGTCGTCCTCACATGTTGATTCCTTCTGGGAGGGCGAACGCCTTCGCCGATTCGTCGCCTCCCGTCGCCTCGTCGCCGCCCGCTTTGCATTGCTCTGCATTGCTCTGCATTGCTTCGTGTTGATTTGGTTTGTTTGCGTCTTTGTTTCTGCTCCGCGTAGAGTGCACCACGCAGACTCCAATCAATCACTGGTGGGGTCCACGCGCACACACACACACGTGCACATAGATATACACACTTTTTCACACATACATATATACACTGTGCGTCTTTATTGTGTCCAGGCGCCAGCGGGCAAGCCCCGAAGGATGGCGCCCCAGCGTGTGATTTGCTTTAGTGGACTGGCTGGACGTTCGCCCAGGGCCGTCCCCCGACATCGTGTGGGGAGGGCCCTCCCAGGCGACCAGCGCGGGGGAAGAAGGGCTCGCGGTTGAGGGGCGAGGGAGCGAGAATGGGCCAGAGAGGCTTGCGATTGTTGTCTTTGGTTGAGGAGGAGGAGGAGGAGGAGGAGGAGGAGGAGGAGGAGGAGGAGGAGGAGGAGGAGGAGGAGGGGGGATCTGAACATCAGCTCAAGACGCCACCTCAGACATGCGACGTCTTGTTTTTTTCAGGACGGCGCCCCTGGAAGTCCCGACCCTTTCCGGGGACCGGTTTTTCGTCCTGAGTCGTACGTTTTTTGATGATCCCGAGGCCGGGCGATGGCCCCCCCCGGGCCGAAAATAGCCAAAAACCTCCCGTCCTGATTTTTTTCCGACGCGAGCATGTCTGGGAACGTATCCCAGGAAAGGGCAGCACGCCGGCGGTATCGGAGCTTCCCAGATCTCCGTCGCCGTAGTTCTAGTGCGAATCCACAGCAGTGGTCTGGACATCTTCCCCGAGGCCGGCTTAGCATCCCGAGAGTCTTTTTGACGGTACCATGGTTCCAGCCCCAGAGGCCGCATACCGCCCAAAATGCGGGAAGGACGGCTGGCGCGCAGCCGGAAGCGGGAAGGTGTCGGCGAGTGGGAAATGGCAAGGAGGGTGGACACAATTGTTCCTCGGCCTGGGGAGTGGCACCGTTCTTTCTCGAGCGGTGAGCCCGGGTCGCGGTATGCAAGAATCTGCTTGCAGCCCCCGGGTGGGAAGCGACGCGCCCACAGCGGGGGGGCGCGCGTGCAAGCGGCGGTCGCCCGGAAGGGGCGGCGTGCAGGAGACTTGGCAGGTGCGACCGGGTCCTGCAAGGGAGAGCCCGAAGACAGAGGCCTGCAAGTGGAGCCGGGGAAGCACCCAGAGAACGCGGCTCGGTGCCTGGGGGCACGACAGGTGCGCGGCCAAGGCCATGTGAGAGGAATCGGCGCGACCAGGAACTGCAGCGGACGCCCAAGGCGCGCCGACGCGTGTACGGCCGCTAGCCAACTCGCGAGGCAGTGGGGCCACGAAACGCTGTCCTGGGAGGCGGTGACGCATGCGGACACTGCCACTGGAGCCTTCGGTGGAGCTCCCTATGGGGCCACGAAGCGCTGTCCTGGGTGGCGGTGACGCATGCGGACACTGCCACTGGAGCCTTCGGGGGAGCTCCCTATGGGGCCACGAAACGCTGTCTTGGGTGGCGGTGACGCATGCGGACACTGCCACTGGAGCCTCCGGTGGAGCTCCATATGGGGCCACGAAACGCTGTCCTGGGTGGTAGTGACGCATGCGGACACTGCCACTGGAGCCTTCGGTGGAGCTCCCTACGGGCCGCGAAGTGCTGTCCTGGGTGGCGGTGACGCATGCGGACACTGCCACTGGAGCCTTCGGTGAGCTCCCTATGGGGCCACGAAACGCTGTCCTGGGTGGAGGCGACGCATGCGGACCCTGCCATTGGAGCCTTCGGTGGAGCTACCTGTGGGGCCACGAAACGCTGTCCTGGGTGGCGGTGACGCATGCGGACACTGCCACTGGAGCCTTCGGTGGAGCTCCCTATGGGCCCATTAAGCGCTGTCCTGGGAGGCGGTGACGCACGCGGACACTTCCACTGGAGCCTTCGCTGGAGCTCCCTATGGAGACGCGGAACGCCGTCCTGGGTGGCGGTGACGCATGCAGACGCAGCCACTGTGGCCCTCGGTGAAGCTCCCTATGCGGCCACGAACCGTGTGAGGGGTGTGCCGTAATGGGTGGCGGTGACGCATGCGGACGCAGCCATTGGTGCCTTCGGTGGAGCTCCCTATGGGGCCACGAATCGTGTGAGGGGTGTCCCGTAATTGGTGGCGGTGAAGCATGAGGACTCAACCACAGGGGCGTTCGGTGGAGCTCCCGATGGGGCCACGAACCGTGTGAAGGGTGTGCCGGATTGGGTGGCGGTGACGCATGCGGACGCAGCCACTGGGGCCTTCGGTGGAGCTCCCTATGGGGCCACGAACCGTGTGAGGGGTGTCCCGTGATGGGTGGCGGTGACGCATGCGGACACTGCCACTGGGGCCTTCGGTGGGGCTCCCTATGGGGCCACGAACCGTGTGAGGGGTGTGCCGAACTGATGATGATGGTGATGATGATGATGATGATGATGATGACAATGATGATGGTGACGGTGATGCTGATGATGGGGAGAGGGAGGAGGGGGCAGCGGGAGGAAGGAAGGACGCGGGCGCTGTCTGTTCAAAACGAGGACCCAACACCACAGGACGGTTGGGAAAAATAGTCAAAAATCGTCAGGGGGACGATTTTTAGTTTTTTATTTATTTATTTTTGTGTATTTTTTGTATGTTTGATTTTTCGTTCCAAATCCGCCTGTAGGGGGGCATGCCCGACCTGAGCCTGCCCTGGCAAGGAAAAGAGCGAGGTCCCGCCGGAGCACAGTGGTGCCCAGCGAGCAGCAGTAGCCGAAGGCGCGCCAAGCGGCTGCACACCTGCACTGGGCCTGCGGTCCAGCGCCTGTGCGCCGAGAGAAGCGGTCGCGCTGGCTCAGAAGGGGGCTCGGGCGGCAGCCTGGTCAAGAGTGGACATACACACAAGCACACAAACACACACACAAACACACACACACACACACACACACACACACACACACACACACACACACACACACACGCACAAACGCACAAACGCACAAACGCACAAACGCACACACGCACACCACCCGCACACACGGACGCCCGCACACACGCACACACATACACACACATACGCACAACACACACACTGGCACACCCCACACACACACACACACACAAACACACGCACAACACACACACACACACACACGCACGCACGCACGCGCACGCACGCACGCACGCACGCACGCACGCACGCACACACAATCACAATCATACTCACACTCACACACACGCATGCACGCACGCACGCACGCACGCACGCACGCACGCACGCAGGCACACACACACACACGCACGCACGCACGCACGCACGCACGCACGCACGCACGCACGCACACACAATCACAATCATACTCACACTCACACACACGCATGCACGCACGCACGCACGCACGCACGCACGCACACGCGCACGGACACGCACATGCACACGCACACGCACACACACACACACAACACACACACACACACACACACGCACATGCGCCGCACCTAATTACACACATGCGCGTGCAAGACGCGCAAAGCACAGCACACGAGCCGTACCCGCTTGTTGCCGCCGAGCCCTGCCGCAGCCCCGCCTGGCTCCCGCACGCACGCGCGCGAAGCCATCCGTGGGTAGGCGGGCTGTGGGTCAACTTCGGGCCGCTGTGCTACGACTCGGGGCACGACGAGGCGCCCCAGGGTGGCTCTCGAGGGAACCGGAAGGTAAGGGAGGAGGAGTGGGGTGGAGTTGGAGGGAGGAGCCCTCCATCCCCTTTCCCCTCTCTCCCCCTCGGGAGAGGTGGGGGAGTTCTCCCCCTCGGGGGAGGTGGGGGAGGGGGGGGGGGAGAAGGGGGAGGGGGGAGGAGAAGGATGAGCTCATCTCCTCCTCCTCCTCCTCCTCCTCCTCCTCCTCCCTCTTCTTATTCCTCGTCCTCGTTCTCATTTTTGGCTAACTCCCGCCTGCTGCACCCCCCGCAGTACCGTCAGGACGGGCCGGGCGTGTCGCCTCAGAACTCCCCACGGATCACGATCGCGAAGGTTGCAAATTCCAACAGCTGCATGGACGGAGGGCGGGTCGTTTGGAAAAAGGGGGGCCTCCCGCAATGGCGCCGCGCAGCCGCACGGCTGGAGGGCGCAGCCGCACGGCTGGAGGGCGCAGCGTGCTTCAGATGGGGCGTCTCGCCTCGTCGCCGCGCGCACTCGCCTGGTCGAAACGGCACCGGTTGCACGGGCGGAGAGCGCATCGTTCGACTGGGGGATCGACTACAGAATTGAGTTACCCCAAACTTGATTTTCACGTCGACTCTTCAACAAAAACACGTCAATCATTCGTTGATCTGCGAAAGTTCTACGAATTGCCCGTGGATTCGACAAGAAAATCTGGGGAAAATCAATTATGTAGTCGATCCCCTACTCGAATCGTTGTCACGATGGGTTCTCCCCGCCCTGGCGTGCCGCGCACGCCCGCCGTAGACAGGTCTGGGAGTCGGACGGGCGGACGCCGGCTCCTCTTCAGGAGGAGACTCGCGCCAGAGACTCGGAGGCGACGACAGGGGCGAATAGCCAAGGGGGGGAGCAACACACGCATCCAGGGGCGCCGATGATCTGTGTCTTCGGCAAGGCGTCCAGGCGAATGCGTGTAATGCCCTCCCCTGGGCTACTCGCCCCTATCGTCGCCGCCGAGAGACTCCAGCAGACGTGCAAAGATGTGCAACGGCGGCTCGGGCGCAGGGCAGCTTGAGGCTTCGTTCCACTGTATGACTCGGAGGTTGATAGACCTCCTACCCTGACATGTCGACTAAGGAATTGGGCGGTTCGCGAGAGGGCGTCGCGGCTGTCATTTTTGAGGGTCCAGGTCCGTCGGTTTCGGCCCCAGGCCTTTTTTCACCAATGGGAGGTTTGCTACAGGGAGGTTTGTCCACCGCCAGATGGCCAGAGACTCCCTCAGACGTACAAAGATGTGTCTTCCTCCTCCTCCTCCTCCTCCTCCTCCTCCTCCTCCTCCTCCTCCTCCTCCTCACTCTCCTCCTCCTCCTCCTCCTTTTCCTCCTCCTCCTCCTCGTCCTCCTCCTCCTCCTTCTTCGCAGGGCAGCTCGAGGCTTCGCTATACTGTGGGACCAGATGGCGTCAAAAGCACGGAGCAGCTGCACGAAGGGAGGGCGGCGCCCTCTTGTCAGCGCGGGGCTGCCGTCGGAAACATGTCTTGGAGTGCATCTTACCACCCAGCCATGCCTCGATTGCGCGTAATGTTGTGGAGGACGATCAATGGAGAAGAAGTATGTTGCCAAATCATTTCCAGATGTCTAGACAATGTGTTAAATCTGCTGTAAACCTATAAAGACATGTTTCACACATGTTTAGGACATGTTTCCGACATTTTAAACACATCTTTTAGTTTAATGATCGGACTGTTAGGGTGTCCATTGTCGTGGCATCCACCAGCGTAAGAGCGAACCTTCGCCAGAGTGACCTCTGGTGCGGGCTCATCTGGGTCCCCCCCCGATGGCTCAGCGCGGTGCGACGGCGGCTGCTGGCGCGCCTGGATTGGGCCACGCTGCGCCCCCTCAGCCCGCGCACCAAAGGTCACTCACTCTTACCCAGGGCCACTCCTGCGTGTGTAGTCGACATGTCGCATTCCTCACTGAGCCTGGAGGGACTGGAGCGGGGAGTGGAGCTGCTGTTAAGACGGGGCGCCCGCCGGAAAGACGCGGTCCCGTGGGGCGGCGCTCGTCTCTGAAGGGGGGGGGCACCTCGCGCAGCGAGACGTAGGGCGGGGGCGCGCTGGTCGAGGAGTGCGCCCGGGAAGCTGCACACCCGGGAGGATGCCTTATTTGCAGAGGGCGGCGGTGATGTCCATGGCCAAGTCTCGACTGGAGTTCCACCGGTCTCCAGACCCTGGATTCCTCATCTGAAGGTTCCTTGTGCAATGCCTTCGCCGTATGATACTTGCAGGGCCCTTGCAGCCAGCCGCCTCAAAACGGGACTCCCGCTTGAATGGCGGACCCATGGCGCGCTGGTCGTTCAAGGGGGCGCTTCTTGGAGTGAGACGAGGGGGCATGGGACGGGAGCTTGTGTTGCAGCATCGCTGAAACATCGTGGGTCTATTCTAGTATGACTATTCCTCCTCCTTCTGCCCCTCCCGCTCCTCATCCTCCTCCTGAACCTCTTCCTTCCCCGCCCCATCCATCGTCTCTTCCTCCTCCTTTTCTTTATCCTCACTCGAATAGGACCCGCGCGCGCCCCCGCCGCCACCGCGGGCCAAGTGTGCTCGCATCACAACATGTCTTGAAAGGAGAAAACGGGGCGCCGCTATCTTGTCTTACCATTGCCTCCATGTCTTCTATCTTTCATCCATGCCACCCGCAAGTCTAGTTGGCAGCGGACATGGGAGCCCACTTCGCGATCCACAGATTGCGCAGCGTGCGATGTGGATGCGCGGTCGCACTCCCCCCAACCTCTTTCATGTAGACACCCTCCATTCCCTGAACAGCTGCTGCAAGCCTTCGGGCACTTCGCCCCAGACGTTCACTGATTCCGTGAGGTCGACGCCAGACTGTACAAGACGTGAGGGACCGACTGCGAGGGCATCAACAGCTGCAGGCTACGCGACGAGGAGCACTCGCCCACGGGAGCGAGCGCCACGACCTTCGGCATCGTGTAGCCGATCCCCATCCCCATCCCCTTCGAGACCCCAACCAGTGTGGCCTCCCAGTTGGGGACACACGCCTCGCAGCCCGAAGGATACGGCCTATATCCCCATCTGGGGGGGGGGCAACTCGGCCAGTGGGGCCCAGGCCACGCCGCTGGGGACGAGGATCGGTGACCTCTCCCCGACCCATCGCACCCCTCAGGTGCCGGCCGTGGCCTCGCGTCGGGCACGCCTGCGAGCCGCCTGCCTGGGCGAGTCCCGTGCGTCGGGACGTGCGCTCGTGTGCTGGCCGTCCTCGACGCGAGCACGTCGCACCGTTCGATGGGAGCGCTGGGCGTTAAGAGCGTGTTTCTTTACTGCGTGAGGCATAATGGGCATTGTGCATTATAGCCCCTGGCCCCCCCTCCCCCCCCCCCATGACGTAACGCCCCCCCCCCCCCCCAGTGCGCCCCGTCCCGGGCACTGCCGCCGTGCTCGCGGCGGGGGGGGAGGCGTTACATTATACCCCCTCCCTGGCCCCTCCCCCCCCCTCCCCCTTACGTATGATGCCCACTATCGCCCAAAATAAAGTAACGCGCTCTACAGTCGGCCCTGATTGGTAGGTCGACCCTGCCAAATCAAGGGTACCCTTGTGTCCTGTGTCTCGCGGCCCATGCCTCCTACATCCCCCATGACAGTGTGGCCCTCGGAAGGGTCTCGTGTCCTCTCGCGTGTCCTGTCCAATCAAGGCCGGCTGTATCTCACCACCTTACCCTCGGCACCTGTCAAGGGCAGCAGCACCACTATGGTTCTCTGCAGGGTCGGGGAGCCTGCTCGTGGCCCTGGCCCTGCGTGGTCAGAGAGGCTCCTTCGCCTCTTATCTGGTGCTCCTCGTGGCAGCACGACGACTGTTTCTCGTTGCTCCTCCTCGTCCTCCTCCTCCTCGTCCTCCTCCTCCTCCTCCTCCTCCTCCCCATCGACCTCCTCTTCTTCTCCGGCGGCCAGGTGGGAACCACACCAGCCACTCCTCCTTGTCCTCCTCGCCTCCTCCTCCCCTTCGCCTTTTGCCGCCCTCTTCCTCCACTCCTCTGGCACGCGCTCCCCCTCCTTGCGAGCCCCCGCCGAGGCGCGGGGGAGCAGCATGGAGCTGAGTTGGGAGGAGCTGAAGCACGCCGTGTCGGGCTCCCAGCTCTGGTGGGTGTATAAATATACGGTCAGGAGCTTTGGTTTAGCGTGTCGTTCCGCGGTTCTGGCCCACTGTGCTTCGGCGCGACGCGCTATCCGTTTTCCCATGCCCAAGCGTGAGCGTCTCGAGTTGTTGTTGCCAGCTTCCCGCCCCGCGGAGCGGAGCGACTCGCCATCCGCTTGCAAGGCGTAGCGTGTCTCAAGGGCCACCGCGGCGACACGCTAAGTATCCAAAAGATCCCGACTGTAGACTTTCGGAGGTCCACGCGGATTTTTGGGTTTCTTAGATCGGCGCCTCCGGCGCCGATCCAAGAAACCCACTCGGACCTTCACAGGGGGAGGAGGGAGGGAGGAGAGGGAGGGAGGGGAGGAAGAGGGGGGGGAGGTGGAGAAGTGGGGGGAGGGAGGGGGTCCCCGACGTGGGGGGCGCGGGAACTTCAGTCCTTGGGCAGCGGGGTCTCCGCTGCTTGAGGCCGGCGGCCAAGAGGAGGTGGTGCCGGTGGCCGTGTCTCGGGGTGGCATCTCGAAGCATTTCGCAACGGCGGCGCAGATATGAAGCCTGGGGCGGGTCTGTGCCGCCGTTCATGTTGCGAGGTCCGACTGCATGCGAATTCGCGCAAGCACCTTGGGCACCTCCCTTCGGGTTGTGTCGCCCAGGTATTCTGTCCGGGCAGTAAAGGGGAGGAGGGAGGGGAGGAGGAGGGAGGGAGAAGAGGAGAAGAGGCAGGGGGAGAAGAAGAGGAGCAGCCGACGGCACGCCGCGAAGCGGCGCTGCGCGTCCCAGGTGGGGTGCCCGCCTGCTCCCCCACGCCTCCGTCCTCCTTCGCCGCGCTGTGTCCACCTCCCTCCCCGTGCGTCCAGGGGTTCGGGGAGAGGGGGTGGGAAGAGGGAGAGCGACGAGGAGGAGGGCGAGAAGGAGGAGGAGGAGGAGGAGGACAAGGACGACGAGGAGGAGGCGCAGGCGGAGCAGGAGGAGGAGGAGGCGACAAAGAGGAGACGAAGGCGATATATAGAGGATGGTGGTGATCATGATGCGTCTGCTGCTGGTGATGATGCTTAGCATGAGGAGGAGGTGGGGGAGGATGAGGTGGAGGAGGAGGAGGAGGAGGCGATGAACAGATGAGGAAGATCAGGAGTAGACGCTGACGATGATGCTGATCTTGATGACGACGATGGTGATGCTGATGTTGATGATGATGCTGCTGATGGTGATGGCGATGGTGATAAGGATGATGATAAGGATGATGAAAACGATGACAATCATGATTCCATGATGGCGATGATTATGTAATGCGGGTGATGACGATGATGGTGATGATGGTGATGATGGTGATGATGATGATGATGATGATGATGGTGGCGGTGATGCTGATGACGCCGATGATGATGTTGACGATGATGATGGTGCTGGTGCAGATGCTGGTGGTGATGTTGACGATGTTGGTGGTGGTTATGGTGAATGGAATGGTGATGTTGATGGCTCTGGTGATGGTGATGGTGATGGCGATGATGCTGCGCGATGGTGATTATGATGATGTTGCTGATGTTGGTGATCATAATGATGATGACGATGATGCTGATGCTGATGCTGATATTGATGCTGATGATGTTGATGCTGATGCTGATGCTGATGACTTCGATGATGATGCTGATGTTGATGATGATGGTGGGGATGAGGATGTTCATAAGGATGATGAGGAGGATACTAATGATGATAGTGCTGATGATGATGATGCTGCTGATGATTATGATGATGATGATGGTGATGCTGCTGATGATTATGATGATGCTGCTGCTGATGATGCTGATGATGATAATGGTGGTTGTGTTGGTGGTGCTGCTGCTGATGATGATGAGGAGGAGGTGGAGGAGAAGGAGGATGAGGAGGAGGATGAGGAGGAGCACAAGGAGACGCACTCTCCCTCCCTCCTTTCCTCGAATCCCTCCCGTCCCCGCTCCATCCCTCCCTCCCTCACTCCCTCTCTTTTTCCTTCTTTCCTGTATCCCTCCATCGCTCCCTTCCTCCCACCCTCCTTATTCTCCCTTCCCCCTCCCTCCATCCTGCCT